TTTTTTTTAAACAAATAATTTTAGAATAATACTTGGAAAATGGGGGAATTCACGGCAACATTTTAGGCGTTCGTTTTTTTAACAGACTTTAAAAAAGGAGGAGGTTCTCAATTCGTCGTATTTTTTATGTATGTTCAGCGATAATTCTTTAACACAGTGTCAGATTTCAATGATTTGATTATTTTTTTGTTAGAAAGGGGGTACTTCAGGGGTGGTCCCATATAAATTTCGTCAAAATCTAATAATTTGGTCCATGAGAAAATCCTCAAATTCTTCAATTTTTATATATGTTCATCGATAATCCCTTAACACGGTGTCCGATTTCAATGTTTCCCATTTTTTTAGAAAGGGTACTTCAGGGGTGGTCAAAATCTAATTATTCAGTCCATGAGAAAATCCTCATTCATTTTTTATGTATGTTTATCGATAATTGTTTGCTACCTTGTCCGATTTCTATATTTTTTTTAGTAAAGGGATACCTCAAGGGTGGTCCCATAAAAATTTGGTCAATATCACGTGGTGGCATCTGCACGATTTTGAAGTCTGTTTTTTAAAATTACTTTTAATACTTGTGGATATAATATATGTACATGTATTTCTAAAACACCATCTTTATTTATACAGTGGCTGTCATTGATTTGTAAGACGGTATAATATTGTTGGTTCAGAAATTGGTTTAAATAAAAAAAGAAACTAAATTTTGTTTTATTTTGATCAGCTCCTTTTATATTCTCACCTTTTACTTGTTTTTTTTTTAAATAAAATATGTCACAATGAATGAATTTAGGTTACCAATAATTACAATTAAGGCCTTATAATCATATAAGGACTAAATGCATTTAACTTGGCTTCGTAGCCTTTAATAGTATAAGGGTACTATTCATAGGGCATAACGTACCTCTGTACGAGACTAAAGGAAACGAAAAACGATGTTAATTTGAAAATTTCTGGAAAAATCAAGCTCTATAAGAGTACGAAATCTATTAATTTTGGAAAAAATTGATTAAAAATGGGGGTTGAAATATTTTTAAAAATCTTAATTCAAAACGGAAAAATATGTATTTGAAGTTTTTTTGGTAAAAATCAATAAGGGGACAGTCTATTGATTTAATTTTTTTTAACAAAATGGGTTATGAGCCCACTAAACATGAAATATTACCAGTCTTTTTGTAACGTTTCTCATAGAGACTTCTTGATATATTTTTAAAACTGTACTAAAATATGCCATAGATGTTTAAATTTTAACATCATACTCATTAACATTCCTCGCATATATCTATAAATGAAGTTTTACGTACGCTGGAATACTTGAATTAGCAGTTACATAAACTTCTTTTTAGTTACTTCCTGTGATAAACATTTATACGATGTTAATTTATATAATAATAAAAATAATATCGTATACAGGTCTGTTACACATCTTTAAGATGGCTATCTTTTTTTTAGTCTACATCGCAGACCCAACAGTTCTTCCCGCGTTCATATATGGAAATACCAATAATCGCTTGCTACTTACGTAACCGGTAGTGCTGTATTATGGAGCAGTATGTTGTCCTGTGTTAAGTATTGTATCAAAGTTCCTACTTTAATAAGCAACACTTCCACATAAACAAAAAATATCAGCAATAGATGACATTCACGTCGTTTCAATTATTGAGGATAAGAAATTCAGTTCACCAGATCCCAAAGAATTATGAAAAGGAAGTTAAAAGCCTGATTACACCAGTTTTATAAAAACCATGAGCAAGTTATAATAAAAAATCATCTTAATTAATCATAATATAAAAATAATTTTTACGTAAATAAAAAAATAAATGGACAGAGTGACAGTATAGGCTGTAAAGTTGTTATGCAGTTGCTACGAATGTTGTTAGCAAGAAAATTGCCAGAAAACACCGGTAGCTACAGAATCGGGAGTGAAACTAAGAAAAGTAACTTCATTTCAATTTCCTAACCAGAAACCCATTGAAAAATCTAATCAACGTTTGAAAAATACAATGAAATCGGCATTATTAAAATTTTCCAAAATAAAAACTTGAATATGCTGATAAAAATAAAACCAAGCTGATTTTGACGTATTATTTATTTGGTAAATAAAGCAGTAAACTTACTGATAAAAATATACATATACTTCTGATAATAATTAATAATGATAAACGTTTACTTAGCTCTGCAGTTTCAACAGTTAATAAATTATGTGTGTAAAGATTCGAAATTTAAGAATAAAGGATCGCAAATATTAAAAACAAAATTTACATGCAAAAAATCTAAAAAAAAAAAAAATGGACAACTTACGATTATTTTTGATTTTGGATCAAATTCTTTACACTTAAAAACCCCAAGCTTTAAATAAAAACCATTTCGTCCATATATATATACAAACCAACCAAAATAGGTACATTTAATCAAGGAATGTGCAAAAAATATTTGCGATCCAGCAAATAGGAATCAAATCCAGCATCTGAATTTGGAAAGTGTAATTATTATACACTTATTGAACTAAAATTTTTTTATCCAAATAGTTTCAAAAATAAAAATTCAATACTTCAACTGAAATAGTAAACTCTCAATAACACTACACATTAAAATGACAAAATCTTGAGCTTGGATTAAATTTTTTTTAGAAAAATGTTGGCTTATAAGTAATTTAGTATTCAACAAATGTTTGCGACATTTTTCAGTAAATAGTAAGCCCGTTCACGCCACTTCCTGTTTTTCCCCAGATCTAGGGTAATATGATGAAGATTTGTAGTTATGGTAACGTCTTAGAAAATTCATATTAACAATGTTAACATATTAGTTTGCAACGATGCCAGATTGAATTATATTCAATTTTGAGCACTGTTTATGTATTATAGACGTCTGAATTCATTTATAAAGATTTTTCTTGCTCTAAATATTTTTTAATAATTTTACAATTAAAGAATACTTCAATTTGGATAACATTCGCATATTTAATTGAAATGAAACTCTGCAAAACTGTATTAAAACAAAATCTAGCAGTTTGATATTCATAAACCACCGGTAAGTACTCTACATAGCATATTTACCCAGGAACTGGGTACCGAATAGCAATTTGGCTATTTCTTCCCGAGATCTGGGAAAAAATAATTCAGATGGCAAAGCCGCTTTGCATTAGAATCACGCATTTGCACAGTACTCTTCATATTTCCGTAGAAATTAGGTACCGAATGGCAACATTGTATATTTTTTTGTTCAATACATTAAAAAATAATTTAAATTACTTGGACACATCGTCGAGGACGCTATGATGTCACGACCTCAAACACCGCCAGTGTTGCCATTTGGTAACTAGTTTCTGGGGAAATATGTAGAGCATTAACCGGCAATTCTTATGCAAAGCAACGTTGATATTCACCGTATAAAATATTTAATAATTTTGAACAGTCGTTTTATCAAAAGTGCTTTCCATTAATCGCCCATATAAAATAATGTTAACAGTTATTTTTTCAGCGTTAATGTGTTTATATGTCAAAATCGATAGCTAAAACGTCGATAAAATACAAAAATGACCAACAAAATTCAATTCATTAATCGAGTTTCGAAATTGTATGGAACGTATTTAACTTAACCAAGTTAACAAAGACATATTATGGAAAGTACTTCAAAACAGTAGGGTTAACAAATGACGTTTGACATACTGACAGTTCCTGCTATCAATCATATTAATGAATAACGTATTTATTTCTTTAGTTTCTGAAATGTATCAAAAAAGTATGTATATAGAAAATTCGTTCATTTTGGTCGTGAACAATTTTGAATCTCCATTTTAACCAGAAACTAGGCTTGACACCCTATGGTTGAAAAATGACGTCTGATAAACAGTGTTGCCAATTAGCTGATGATTTTCTCACCCAGTTAAAAATTGAATAAAAACCTAACAGGGTCATTCATAACTATTGGGACATAGGCTAAGGGCAGGTTATTTCGACCAAAATATGGCGTTAGGACCAAATATACCTCAATAAAATATTGCTGTAGAATAAGATACAGGGCGTTAAAGTTGAATTTTTTTTGTTTTTTTTTTCTGATGTCACTGTATATTTATGAATTGTTAATAAAATCGGCACAGAGGCATATCTTTGGAAAAATAATATTATTTTATGTATTATTTCACATTTTGTTACAGGGGCGCCACGTGAATGATGAAATTAGGTTGTAGCTTTTTTGATGAAATTTTTTAGTGTTTTTGATTAGAAAATATGAGATAAACATAATTTCTAAGTAATATTGGTACTTTTTCATCCGTTTTCGAGAAAAACGCAATTGAACAGTTCACAAGTATCAGATGGGGATTTAAAAAATATTTTATTTAGGAAAAGTGTGCTTTGCAGTGTCAGATAATAAAGTCTACTTGGTCCTATCGCCATATTTTGGTCCAAATAACCTGCCAATAGTTATGAATCATCCTGCATAATGCACGCTAATAGAAAAAAGATCTTCAAAACAAAAATATTTTGAAAATGAAATTGTGAATGATTGAAATACCTTTTTTTTAAATACTATGGAACATGAAAAGAAGAAGTCATCACCGAAATCAATTTATTTTTCGCGTAGAAATATAAACGCGGCAAGAAGTGAAGAGCAAAAAATTCATCAACAAAACAAGGGAAGAGCAAAAAAGTTTCTCAAGAAAATTTATCGAGATGAAAAAATAATAATTATTATTAAGTGGAATTTCGGTGAAACCATCGAAATGATATAGAACCGTGGGTGATTTCGCCGAAATTGTAAAAATGTATAGAATACTTTTGCGATTTCGACGATTTTTTGGTAATTTGCGAAATTATGGGTATATTTTAATGTTAATGGTTCACCTCACGATCCCTACTCTCCCTTCTGCATCATAATTTCCAATCAAACTTGATTAAAACCAAACGGAACTGCATAATAAACACTTCCATAGCGCAAGAAGCGGCTTTCGCGCAACATTTCCAAATTCAGATGCCTACAAACGATATACCTGTTCACGGTAAATTCTACAACGACTGAACGAGCAACATGACTTCGGGTTTTAGGTACGCCACATTCCCTGCAGCCTTCAGATCCTCTTCGACACTGGCGTCCCAATGGAACAGCAATATGGTGGCGGGAACGAGACGGAGATCCAGTAGGGTGCTTTCTTTATCGGCGTCTTCCATTTTGTGACCGGTGGGGGCGGATAGGACGAACGGTAGACCTTCGTGTTCGAGGTTGTCGGTGACGAAGTCTAAAACCTCGGAGAATTTTTCGTAGACCGAGAAAGTTCCTTGTAGGTATAAACCGTCCGGGAACCTGATTCTGATTAAACAAAATTTGTATTTTCTTATCTCGCGAATTTCGTCCTTTTCCCTCATGGCTTTCGTCCTTAATTGCAGTTGTTTCTCCACCATTTCGCTCCTTAGAAGAAAAAAAGTATAATAGTTATTCATACACCAAATCAGCAAAGTGATTCTTTATCGAACTAGTCTGAGATTCGATAAAAGCACTTTACTGACGTGGTTACAAATTTTTATCGCCAACCATAAAAATGTATAATTAAAACAAAACTTTTATTGTTGAAAAAAGATTTAAATTTATAGTTATACAGCATAGTTATGGTGATAAATATTAGCTGCAAGTAAAGACAAAACTTTTACTATTGCAGCCATGACAGTGACAAACGATTTCTATTTAATCTCATACACTCATGGTTATGTTAATAAATATTAGCGACAGATAAAGTGTTTCTTTGTGATATTTAACGGTTGGCGATAAGAATAATTTGAATCGAGAAAGCGTAAAAATATTTTCTACCTTTGTTGTTTCTCGCGCTTTATCTCGTCGGCGGACAAGGCGTAAAAATCGGCCGGTAGTTCCAAACGTTTCGCGGCTTGGGCTGGAGAAAGGACCTGAAGGTTCCTGTCGATCTCCAGCTCGACCCGTTCCTCGGCTTTTAGAGTTTCCCTCATAAACTGAAAATCAAAAAATCATTTAGGAATCATAACCATCAATTTCATTTAGCAGCAAAAACCACACATGGTTGCTTAAGAACTACATTTAACCCAACCTGATGAAGTCTCTACAGAATTAGCAGCAATGAAGTTGTGTAATAGTTTAAGTCAAAGTTTTCCAATTGGTGAAAGAAGTCAAACAACAAAGCAGAAGAATCACAAACTCTTCTGTTATTATTGTCGCAAAAAAAGCAATATCGACTCCGTTTAGCTAAATAAGGTTTACACCAGAAACTTATAATCAAGCATTGGGTGCTGAATATAGAAAAATTACAACAGTTTGTTGCAAAGTTTCCATTGACGAAAATCAGGATACTGAAATCGAAGTTTTCGAAGTAATAGAGACCAATTCAGGAGCAGATCCAAGTCACGAAGGTATGCAGCTTCAAGATCATCAAAATATGCGACCTCCTTGTCGTTATCCTTACGACATCGTTTGTGCAGCTGTTATAGAAGAGGTATAATAATAATAATAATACTCTCCCTAATTCACCCCCTTACGAGTGAATTTCACCCCCTTACGAATGAATTTCAACCCCTGAAGTCGACTGAACGACTTGTGTAGGGGAAGGGACGGCTATTATTATTATTTGCCGTGGCGCTCCGGGGCGACTTAAAGATGATTGATGGTGCCATTTGACTTACAGGTGAGGAAAACCCGGAAAACCTCAACCACCATCATCGAGACGGTAATGCATGGCGATTTTTTAATCTGCATGTCATATCAGCAGAAATTGAATTTCTATTAATACGGCACACATCAAATCCTAAACCGAACCATGCAATTTAATTAAAAATCAACATGGTCTGGTCTGGGATTCGAAGCCCAGCAGTCTCAGACTCATAAACTTGCCACGCACTTACGAAGAAGCCATAGGTAGCAAAGACAAATATCTTTGGTATGCAGCAATAGAGAAGGAGATACGGCCTCTAAACAAAAACGAAACGTGGATTCTTGTATTGCTTCCAGCTAATCGCAAAACGATTATATGTAAATGAGTTTTCAAACTTAAATGTAAACCAGAATTACCAAATTGAGCTATAAAGCGAGATTAGTAGCCAGAGGGTTTTTGCAAAAGGCTGGGATTGATTACACATACACTTTTTCACCTGTAGTAAGGTACGACTCAATATTGCTGAATCAAAGATATGGAAATTAGTCAATTTGACGTGAAAACTGCATTTTTAACCTTTGATCTTAATGAAGAAATTTATATGGATCAACCAGAGGGTTTTTCTGTAGGTACAGGTTTAGTTTGCAAGATACAGAAGAACCTTTAAGGTTTAAAACAACCTCCTCGTTCCTGGAACACAAAATTTTTAGTTTCATTACTTCTTTTGCCTTCAAACCACTCGAATCTGATAAATGTATACTTCGTGCGACATACAATGTTTTTTTCATGGTAAAGAAATACAATGCTATTGAATAGAGAGAAATAGAATATTACTTCGCTGCTATGCTTTTCTTGAAAGGGCGTTATTAAGCCAATTACTCTCTTTATCGCTCTGACGTCTAAATATAATTAAGCGTATCATCTTTATTTTGCCTGATGATTCGGATTAACATACTGCATAACAACGAGGAAGTATTTCTTTCAATTTACGTAGATGATGGTCTACTCATTTGTAAATCTAGTTGTTTTTTAAAATTTTAAAGGAACTAAATACTCGTTTTGAAATAATTAAGCCAGTCAAATTTATTTGTAAGAATTAAAAAGGAACATTAATTTGTCAATGAGAGAATAAAATAAACAAAGTTCTTTCTTGTACATGTAATCAGTTTTGTTGTGAAGATCATTTTTAGGTAAGTTAATTTTAAATTATTTAAGGTACCTATTACTACAGTAGTATTTTTAATCGTACTAGTACACCTACTTACTTACAGGATCTGTTAATGCCAAATTCAAATGTCTTGTAATAAAATATATGTACAAATTCATTTGAAAAGTTATTTTTTAAATTATTTTAAAAAGTGGAATCCGGAACATGGGGTAGGTACTCTATTTTACTTAAATATTAATATAAACTATAGTCATTGTAAGTCATTAATGGCCAGATGGATTTTCCATACCTAATATGTATTTCCTTACATTTACAAAGCAATACAAAATATAGTATTACGTGAATTAAAATTCTCGATATATTTTTAATAATACAGAAATATGTAGGTAAATAGTATAGAAATATCCGTTACATATATGGCCCATTGTCATAAAATGGCATTATTAATTTATAACCTTTGAAACTGGAATTCCTCAATATTATGATAATAAATGGCGCATCCTTTAAGATGTGCCCAAACATATGTATAAATAATGAAATAGAGATTTTTATTATTTGATATGCTTGGTCTTGCAAGAACATTTACAAAATGTTTGAAGCAAATAGAAAAAGGCAGAAGGGAACATAATAGTATTGTTTTTTTTTTTATTCCAGCTTGAAACTGATATGGAAAACCATATGGAGTGGAAGATGATAGGCAGAGACCTAAGACTCAGAAGGGGTGTTTTACCTCATATCTTTTAAATGCCATCAGTCAGATTCCGAATATATTAAACAATCAAACCTGAAAAAGGTGTTGCAACGAGAAGACGTCCATTGAAATCCTCCAAAATATAGTCATTAAATCTCACACACACTTCAAAATCAGTGGAGTGGGTTAATTGTAGTAGTGGTGCTATTGAAGACGACCCACTCGAGCCAGGGCCATTGTTATTAACAAGTCAACATATAAACTCGCAAAACCACTATTTGTTGTCAAAATAGCGGCATTTTGTAGAAGCTGCCGGCCGCTCACCTACACAATCGGCGCTGATGACGTAAGCCTAACTATCTCGGCATCTCGGGCGGTATAAAATAATCCCAGACTAATAAAGCTTATAAGTTCGATAATAACCTTTTCGACTTGTAAAATTATGTTTTATTTCTTTTTGTTAAAAATACCGATTCCGAAGTCATCCTGACGGTTCGAAACTGGAGTGAAAATGCGGGGATTTAAATTAGACGTTATCTAAAGAAAAAAGGGAATATTAATTTATCAAGAAGGTTATGTTGAGCGTATTTTAAAGAAATTCAATATGCACGAATGTAAACCTTCTGTTATTCGTTTTGATAACAATACCGTTATGGATCTAAGATAAAATCAGTTCTAACAAAATTGTTTATGGTTAATTCGACCGTTTTTACTCTTTCTTTGGATATAATAATGTATTTCCTATAGAAATGTTATAACACTTTAATTTTTTATAAATAAAAACAAATAGAAGGTAGTGACGAAAAATAATCTTGAAGACGTTTCAATAAATAATAAGCATATTAGTGTTATGGAAATTATGGCTAGTTTTAAGAAAATATGTAGGAAAAATAAATTACTGCAAGTTGTTATATGGAAATGTAAAATTATGTAGCTAATGGGAAAATATAAACGAATAAAATCAGTGTCAATAAATGAATCAAGTAAAAAAATATTAATATGATTTAATTATGAACGAATTTACAATATACTAGAAATGAGAATGAAGTAAATACTATAAGGTTAGAAAATTATAGCTATATATATTATAAGTAAATGGGTAACTAGTGCATAAAAAATTAAATTATTATTTTATTATAATAAATAAATCAGAGCATTTAATTTTAGATCATGAAAAATATTTTATTAATGAATGATTTAAATTATAAAAGGATGTAACAAAATTAAAGTCATATTGAAGAATTGGAATATTTTTTAAGTAACCTGTAAGTCTATATAGTTCTAATATATATACTGGACAACATAAGTAATTTATAGTATAAAAAGTTCTGCAGATTCTACCTACTTCTGAAATTAACTACGACGATTAACATTTTCATACCGATGAACTAAACAAAAACTTACCTGTAAAGTTTCGAGATTTTCAACGTTATCAAGTGACCACACCCAAAAATCCTCATCGACACCATTATTTTCGATTTTTTGCTGTCTGAATCCGCAAGCGTATAGGAAATCCGTGGCCCCCAAAATGGGGAGCACTTTATCACAGAAAGTGGCGTTTGAACAACGAATTTTATGGAATTTGATTTCGTCTGGATTGGCAATGAGATTGTCTAAATATCTAACTAAAACGTTCACGCAGTCCATGACCTACAATGTGAATTTGTTTTTATTTATTAAACAGCATATGGAAAATCCCCATTAAAATAAAAAATATAAGAAAATCATTTAATAGATAATATTAATTTGTAACTCAAGTATTAAGTAATAATTTTATTTATTTATTAAATATAAATAAAAACAAAAATCATTAGGAATTTCCTATACCTAATTTAATCATTTTGGGAGATTTTTAAATTTAAATGACAAAAAAAATTAACAGTATAATTTTAACTTGCCACTGGTTAACAGAAAATATAGTTTGTTAATTAGTGATTAGAATTTAACCAGCTGTAATTTATTATCGATTAAAAAAGTTTCTTACAATTTCTAATAGGACTAACATTCAGTCAAAAATAAATACCAATAGCAACCAATTCTAATCTCACTCCATTATAATACCTACTTTATTTTAAGTTGACTTTGAAACTACAATACTAATAGTTTATTACTAACGTTATTAGTGTTGTAATATATTTTTTTAAAAAGTCTAGCCAGTTTTTTAATATGACCTTTAGTCATAAATAAGAGAAGTATTTCGAGTGTTACATAAAAAATGCTTAAAATTGTAAGTTGAACATTTGAAAACCACCTTAAAACCTTCATAAATATTATTGAAGGCTACTTAGATAATTTTTTCTAATTAAATAACACTTAATAAACTTAAAAAAAATGGAGGAATTATCTGAAGTTTTTGGCTGCTATTTTTATTTTTTTACTAAATGTAAAAGTCCAATTAGGTATTGGCAAAAACTAAATTATAGCTGGTTAAATTCTAATTATCAATTAACAAACAGTCTAAACAGTTTAAATAGCAATTGGTTGTGGTAGTAGATTATTCTTTTTTTTTATTAACAAGTGGATGATGTATTTTACTCATTATAAATTTAAATGGCTGATTCATTTTTGCCTAGCCATCCTCTATACCATTTGATACGTAAATCAGTTGACTCCAGGCCATACAGATTAGGTTAATTAATTTCAGATTCCTTTGACTTAAAACAACATTTAATAACAATACAAAATTTTTCTCTGAAATAATCTGTCAAATGCTTTTTTTTTATTTTCCTATAATAGATATATAAAATAACAGAATACTTTTTATTTTTTCAAAATAAGATGTATCTAAAGCTTACTGGAGACCCTAAACATATTCTGAAAAATACTTCTATTAAGAAAAAAATATTCCAAAGGAATATGAAAACTTAAAAAATACTAGTAACTAATAATAATGGTAATAAAATTTTTAAATAGAAATTTTGAAATTGGTTAAAGAACAGAATATGTGAACAAACAACTTAGAAACAATTAAAATAAAATCTTACCTTTGATCTGTTATAATTGCAAGAATAAATAATTAAACATGACGTCATTGCACGTTCTTCTGCAAGGGTGTTGAACAAAAAGTCCTTTATTTTCAGTTTCCACTCTTCTTTGGTCAGTATTTCATCACTAATTAGAGGACATTTGAAGTATACTCCTTCAATTAAATAACATTTATAAGTTCTTGAGAAAAATTACAGAATAACATTTCATGCATTCAATTTCAACAACAAAATGCACATTTATTGAAATTCTTGCCATAAAATAAAATATAAACTATTGAATTTTAAATGTTGTCATAAATATTTAAATACATAACACTAAATGCAAAGCAATAAATATAAATAAATTAATTACCTTTCACAGCCAAATGAGCAGAATACTCGAATTCGTTTTCTTGAACTTTCGTAGGAGATCCAGACCCATGTCCCTGCTCTTTAGTTTCAGCCTCTAACTCCTTCCTAACTTTAGCCTGAATGGCAGCTAATGAAGTATTAAAAACAGTATCTTTCTTCTGGCCCTGCAATCGGATCAATGCAGCTTCTGCGGCTTGCTTAGCAGCCTCGCTAGGTTCTACTTTAGCCGGGATGTAAGCAGATTTAGATTTACTGGGCCCTACAACCGCAGTCGAAGACTCTGTCAACTTTCTACCGGGGCCTGCTAGCTTGAACTTTGCATCCGCCTTTTTCTTAGCAAAGAATCTTTTTATTTTTTCTGCCATATCGACGAACTGGAATTTTAGATCCTAGGCGTGTGCTCTTTAGGCAGTTTTAGCTTCGCTACGCTAGCTTTTAGCTCCTCGATCTCTCGCAAAGTAGCTGTCAGAATATTACACTTTAAAAAACGTCAAATATAGGGTTATAATACTTACGGTTTGTCATGAAATGTTTACAAATTGATTCTCCGTAGTATTTCCAAACGATAGCGATCGATATCAGATTAATTACAATCAAACAGATGAATATTTGTAACAGATTCCACTGGAAATCATCAAATATGTTTGCGAAACTTTGGAAATAGGTGTCCACCTCCGTGGTGCGTAAAAATGCGAATATATCAGTTAGATATAATATAGCACTGTTCCAATACAAGTGAATTACATCAGATACGGATGTATTTTCCAAATAATTTGAAAAAATAGCGACCATTACTTGAACATTAGTACACTCACAAAGTAGCTGTCATTCACTTCACAGATGATTTTGACTTTTGACATGGTGAATTCGGATAGCAATGTTGCCGGTCTAGTACAAATGTTCTAGATCTAGTACATTCTCAAAAAATCTGGTACTATACTACCCAAGGATTCTTTAAGCATCCTTGCTACTATATCACACAGTATATAAAGATTTTATACTGTGCTACTACCACATACTTTGATTTTCTCTTACTATACGGAGAATGGTTGCACTGCGCAGCTTTCTGAGTGTCTTTTAAAAGGAGATAGAAAACTCCGCCATTTTGATGGCTTATTACGTGTTGCCTACATCTTGGCGCAATATTTTTAATATTTTGCTTGCTGCTGTCAGTGTCAGTGAATATTATTTTTGGAGTCAAAGTTTATTGCTAAAGAATCAGTTAGCTCACTCAGACCAGTTGAAAGTTCCAAAATAACATCCACTCCAGGGATATAAATTCAGGATGCGCAAAGACTGCTGTTTTATTATAATAGGCGGTTGTTATATATTGTATTATCCGAGTTGCGCAGTGTATAAACTGGAATATTGAGATCAAAAGTGCCGATGCAGAGTGAGCGAACTGATTCTTTAGCTATAAACTGTGGTAAAGGCATCAAAATGGCCGCGCCCTATGTTGGGCGTGTCGGACCTCTCTCTTGCACCGTATAGTAATCAAAGTATGTGGCTACTACCCTCTAAGCAAAATTTTGTACTTCTTCCCTAGCGTACAGCAACGCATGTTTCCATTTGACGTGTAAGTTTTTTTATAAAATAATAATTTATATCGTGTGTCTCTTTTACATACCTACTCATAACAATACTGTTTAGTTTTTCCTTTCCGTAAAGATAATTAATTGATTGCATAAATTGATTTTTCAATTAAGACACTTATTACTTTACTTTTTTTAATCCATTTTTTAATTAAAATAATATTTACCGATTATAATTTTTTCACGTGGCCATTTTATCATGCTTGTTTACAAAAAACACTACGAAAAATATGGCTGATACTGACGCATGCGCACAAAAAAATTGTGATGAAAAGTCCTAGCCAGGTCCGGTACTGAAAATCTAAAATCAACAGTTCGTAGTCAAAAAAGATGCCAGATTTACCTACCTTCCCAGACAGCACACCAAATCCTTTGGATATCTACTGAACATCCCAATATCCACTGAATGTCCAGTCCATGGTGGATATCTATTTTATATCCATGAAATGTAATTTATAGACATGCAAATGTCCATAAATAATTGTAATTATATAGCAAATTATTAAAAAATTACGCCATTGTACTCGCCATTGTGGCTAATAGTACCGTTGAGATATTTAAAATTAATTTTTTTAAGGTGTATTCAATATCCCATGGACATCCACTATAAATATAAATATATCAAAATCTAAGCGCGGACGCAAACCATCGTGGATATCTACTAGATGTAATTTTTGATTTTGCTTCCTAAGTATAGATGGCGATACCACTTTCGTATCTACTCATGCTTAACCCGCCGTAATTGAGTTTGATCGACATTGTTTCACAAACAGACTTCATTAGAGACTGAAGTCGAGAAGTTCCATTTATTGCTGAAGATTCCTAATAAGGATGATTTTCTCCTTAGTAGGCAAAATCAAAGGCAGATTGTTGGGAATATTTTTTACCTCTATCTTCTTTCGACGTTATTCAATAACCATTGGTTACTTATGAACCTCTACTAAAAATAATTATAAAATATTTATCTGAATTTCTATATCCTGGGATATAGACGGACATTTGGTTGGATATCCACAAAATATATTCTATGGATATATCTAGGATTTCTTGTATTGTCTGGAGATACTCATTAGATATTTTGCTGAATATCCATAGGATATCTTCTATATTCTGGATATAGACGGACATTTGGATATCTATATTAGTTCCACGGAATATTTCTGATATCCTGTGGATATATTGGATATCCACAAAATATATTCTGTGGATATCTCTGGGATTTGGTGTGTTGTCTGGGTTCTCACCAGAATTTTTTTATATTACCAAAAATAAAATTATTATGTGCCACATGGCCGCAAAAACACACTATAATAATTTCCAATACATTCATTTTAAAATTTAACAATAAAAAACAAATATCGCTAAAACTGCATCATGTTAACAGTTTTACTTATACCTGCTGCCATTATGTTTAGAAAATATTGTTTTTGAAATTTCATATTTTGTAACAGTTTTCATTAATAAGTCTTTTTGCATGTAAAATACCGCTTACCGTTTCTTCCTCTAACCGATATTTCTTAACTTATTAACATTATTTACTATTAAAGACCCTCTCGACACACGCACTGCTATGGGGTAAACTAAATAATAATTGAACCAAGTGTGAAAGTTTGGGATATTCATAGCTCCCATCCCCATTTTTTAATGAGCACACCTTTTTCCAAAATTCTAAATGATCCATTGTAAAGTCAATGCTGCGGTTTTGTAATAATCAGAATTATTTATCTAAGTTATTACTCAACAAACATTTTTTGCAGGACAATAAAAGGCCCAATAACTGTTACCCTATATACAGTTGTAATGGTGGCCATTTAATAATTAAAAGGCCGGCGCATATATAGGTCACTACGGCCGACAGTCGAGCCGAAGTCACTTTCCAACAAACAATAAATTGCCGGGATATTGCTGGCCTTCTGATGTAATTGAAGGGAAAATGAATGCGACGATTAAAAGATAGAAGCCTACTTTTGGCCTTTCGATAGTGACACACAAGATAGGTTTCAAAAGAAATGGCATACGATTTGTGAGCTAATATTTTCAAAATTGTATTACTGTAATAGTTCAAAAGGTTTAAAAAGTATATTTATGAAGAAATTCATGGAATGAAGTAATTAATTTCTCTACGATAAAAATGGGTTTGCATTTTTGCAATAAGTATACAGAAATTATTAAAAATTAATAAAAATTAATAAAAATTAATAAAAATTAATAAAAATTAATAAAAATTAATAAAAATTAATAAAAATTAATAAAAATTAATAAAAATTAATAAAAATTAATAAAAATTAATAAAAATTAATAAAAATTAATAAAAATTAATAAAAATTAATAAAAATTAATAAAAATTAATAAAAATTAATAAAAATTATTAAAAATTAATAAAAATTAATAAAAATTAATAAAAATTAATAAAAATTAATAAAAATTAATAAAAATTAATAAAAATTAATAAAAATTAATAAAAATTAATAAAAATTAATAAAAATTAATAAAAATTAATAAAAATTAATAAAAATTAATAAAAATTAATAAAAATTAATAAAAATTAATAAAAATTAATAAAAATTAATAAAAATTAATAAAAATTAATAAAAATTAATAAAAATTAATAACAATTAAATTAATAAAAATTAATGAAAATTAATAAAAATTAATAAAAATTAATAAAAATTAATAAAAATTAATAAAAATTAATAAAAATTAATAAAAATTAATAAAAATTAATAAAAATTAATAAAAATTAATAAAAATTAATAAAAATTAATAAAAATTAATAAAAATTAATAAAAATTAATAAAAATTAATAAAAATTAATAAAAATTAATAAAAATTAATAAAAATTAATAAAAATTAATAAAAATTAATAAAAATTAATAAAAATTAATAAAAATTAATAAAAATTAATAAAAATTAATAAAAATTAATAAAAATTAATAAAAATTAATAAAAATTAATAAAAATTAATAAAAATTAATAAAAATTAATAAAAATTAATAAAGATTAATAAAAATTAATAAAAATTAATAAAAATTAATAAAAATTAATAAAAATTAATAAAAATTAATAAAAATTAATAAAAATTAATAAAAATTAATAAAAATTAATAAAAATTAATAAAAATTAATAAAAATTAATAAAAATTAATAAAAATTAATAAAAATTAATAAAAATTAATAAAAATTAATAAAAATTAATAAAAATTAATAAAAATTAATAAAAATTAATAAAAATTAATAAAAATTAATAAAAATTAATAAAAATTAATAAAAATTAATAAAAATTAATAAAAATTAATAAAAATTAATAAAAATTAATAAAAATTAATAAAAATTAATAAAAATTAATAACAATTAAATTAATAAAAATTAATGAAAATTAATAAAAATTAATAAAAATTAATAAAAATTAATAAAAATTAATAAAAATTAATAAAAATTAATAAAAATTAATAAAAATTAATAAAAATTAATAAAAATTAATAAAAATTAATAAAAATTAATAAAAATCAATAAAAATTAATAAAAATTAATAAAAATTAATAAAAATTAATAAAAATTAATAAAAATTAATAAAAATTAATAAAAATTAATAAAAATTAATAAAAATTAATAAAAATTAATAAAAATTAATAAAAATTAATAAAAATTAATAAAAATTAATAAAAATTAATAAAAATTAATAAAAATAAAATAAAATAAAAATTAATAATCATTAAATTTTTTAAATTATAAACACGACACTACGCGTGCAAAGCCGCACGCGTGCAAAGCCGCGGGCAAAAGCTAGTTTGACATAAATGCAATTTAAAATGGTTTCACGAACCCAGACAACACACCAAATCCCAGAGTTATCCACAGAATATCTTTTGTGGATATCCAATATATCCACAGGATATCAGAAATATTCCGTGGATCTAATATGGATATCCAAATGTCCGTCTATATCCAGAATATAGAAGATATCCTAATGGATATCCAGCAAAATATCTAATGGGTATCTTCCAGAAAATACAAGAAATCCCAGATATATCCACAGAATATATTTTGTGGATATTCAATATATCCAATATGGATATCCAACCAAATGTCCGTCTATATCACTGGATATAGAAGATATTCGGATATTCAGCAACATATTTTATCTTTAGTAGAGGTTCATAAGTAACCAATGATTATTGAATAACGTCGAAAGAAAATAGCA